TCTGCATCAAGTGGGAACTTCATTCAGCGCATCGCTGTGTCTGGGGACCCGGCACCTGGTGGCTGTGTGCCTTGTGGGCCGGAGTGGTGGCCCGTTCGTGGCAGCGGCATCTGCTGTGAACCAGGAGCCGGGCTCTCCGTGTGCTGCTCCTCTCCCTGTGATCAGCCCTCATTAAAATTCTGAGCTGCGTCTGAAGCTTCTGCAGTGGGGCTCATGGGCTGCTCCTCGTTTCCAGTCTGCAGGGGAGGCCAGGCCACGCTTTGGCCAGGAGGGGCTGGTGGGGGTGGGTTGAGGGTGGCGAGGCTGCCCACCATGGCCACTGTGCCCGGTGCTGCATCTACTCTATTCTCTACCAGGCACCAACAGTCCCCCTTAGGCCATAGAACCCCAACTCCATGGCAAGGGGTCAGGCCTCTCCAGGGACCTCCATGTGGAGGACAGCTGGAGGTCAGAGCATGCTTCCTTACTGCCCAGGCCATCGGCAGGCAGGTATGTGTTCTTGTAAACACAGGAATGCCCCTGCGTGGAGCTGGGTGAGCCGAGGCATGTGAAGCTGGCAGGCAGCAGGGGACACTGCCAGGACCCTGCTCCCGGGGAGGCCACTGGAACATCCAGCTGTAGGCAAAGGCACCAAGAGGCAGAAAGTCAGCACACCCCACATCAACATGACACCTGGGGGCAAACCTGCTTCTTACCCTCTCTCCAGGCCCCTGCTATGGTCCTCAAGGCCTGCAAAACAAGCATGAATCTGCACATGTCGAGCCCTGCCCACCCGGACCCCCAGCACCTCCCAGGCTCGCTCAGACCAGGCCTGGGTGGGTGTCACAGACCGTATGGCTCCTCAGTGACCCTCCACAGAGCTGGCAAGGTGAGAGGAGGTCACTCCCAGGGCCTCCATCATGCTGTCAAGGCAGGGTCAGTTTCTCATGGACCACCAAGTCGTGCCGCTTCCTCCTCCTGCCACCCTCCACCAACCCCCAAAAACTGAGGCTCTGAGGCCCAGAAGGCCAGCAAGACCACCATGGCTCTGGCCTGGGCACGTGGAGGCAAGGACGCCCCTTTCCCAGCCTGAGCTGTGGCCTGCAGAGGCCCCATAGCTCAAGCGAGCCATAGGGCCGGAGTTGTCCCACCCAGAGCCCAGACACAGCAGGGCCTGCGCCTGGCCGAGAGGGCTCAAGGCTTGGGAGGACATGGACCCCAAGAAACAAACACCCTTCAGAGGTGAAACCCACCTAAGAACCTAAAGGAAGTGTGGTCGGCATGATATGGGCAGAGATGGCAAAAGAGCCACCATGGCTGGGGGCACGGCTGGAGCCCAAGGCTTCTCTCTGGCTGGACAGTGCTGGCTAAAGGGCCAGCAGCAGCAGAAAGCCTTAAGCTTATTAATTTTATTATCTGGTCCTTGAGCTCAGCCTCCCCTCAGGGTAAACATGCGTTTGTTGGCTTGAATCTGTTAGAAATGGTCGGCACAGGTTCAGATGGGTGCCGTGGGGAGACGCTGGTTGCCATGGCAACCAGAGAGGGCTTTAGTTCCGCCCAGAGAGCAGAGAGGCTCATGGGCAAGCTGGCCATGGCCCACCCTGCAGGCAGGCACAAGCCCTGCAGGCCACCATCTGTACCTTCAAGCGGCTCCTGGTTTGTTTCTCAGTCTCCTCAAAATGGCTGGACGCCATCAGTCCGACTTCAGCCTCGGGAAGAAGCCCGGGGACTGGGCGGCCTGCAGGCTGCGGCCATCCTTCCTCCAGGGACGTGCATTCTTACAAGTGCCAGTTGCCATCCTCAGCGCCTTGGCCCGTCCCAGGTGGGAAGATGCTCAGTCACTGCCAGAAGTCCCCTGAGCCATCGGTCTGATGGACCTGCACCCCTTTAGTGGAGCGTAAGCCCATCTCTAGGCCAGCTTCATGGCCAGACAGTTTCCTGAAGTCCACAAATGGCCTGCAGATTTGGAGGCCACAAGGTGCAGAAGGAAGCATGGTCTCCGTGGGCCCTGGACCTGGCCCCTCAGCTGTGGCAGGGTAGCCCGGCCTGCTCTTGCTCAGCAGGGGGTGGCTTGGCCCCAGCTGGGTTCCCATCCCTAACAAGACAGGACCCCCAGCAGCAAGCATGCTGGACCCACCAGCACCCTGGGCAGGGGCAGCCAACTTCCAGCAGCCCACTCTATGACTGTGCCAATGACCTTCCCATCAGCCAGTCAGACACTCGGAATTGCTGAGGAGGCCAGCTCTGTCGAGGCCAGTGTCCTGCTAGTGAGACCTGCTGGTCAATCTCACGAGATGTCCAGTACACTGACCTTTCCAGGAGGCAGGCAGAGACAGCCCTGTCTGCCTCCTGGAGAAAGCTTTGAATGGGTGAAGTCTGTCCCCAGCAGTACATCAACTGCAAACACCCCCCAGAAGGACTAGGGTCTGCATGTGTCCGTGGCGGCCCTGTCCCACCAGCTCTGGGTAGAAGGTCCAAGGAAGCTCTGCAGGCCAGGCGGCTCCCACTCCTGCCGTGGTGGGGCAGACAGTGTGCAGAGTGAGCAGAACGATCCTCCTGAGTGGTTGAAACAATCAGAAGAAAAATGTTTCAAGACACGTGAAAATCATGTGGCACTCAGAGTTGGTGCCCACGATCAGCTTCCCAGCACCCCCACGTCCACTTGTGGGCAGCTCGTCTGCTGGACAGGATTAAGTACCATGAGGGGGCACCCTGCCAGAGAAGCCCGAGGAGCTGTGGTCTGGCCCTTACAGAGAGGTGGTCTGTGGCTATGTCCCCCATTTTTTCTTCAAACACAGATGGAGGTGTTGCTGAGAAGGGATTCTACAGATAATCCACTGACCATATCCTATGGGTGAAGGGACTGTCCTGGATGACCAGGTGGGTTACCCTGCAATGGTCAATGCACCGGCCTGAAGACTAGAGCTGCTGGCTGAGGAAGAAGGAGTCCCACAGTGGACAGCAGCTCACCTCGTGCCCAAGATTTCCTGCCGATGGCCTCCCCTCCGTCTCCCCGCACTGAGCCTCTCCAGCCAGTGGCTGTGCCCAGCGTGGGCAGCAATTCACCCCTGCTCTGCTGCTCTGCCGTGTCAGGTGCGGGCCCAGGAAGCACCTCAGAAAATGTGTGCATGAGCCCACGTTGAGTGGGGACCCCACCACGGGCAAAGTGGCTGCCTTGCACCCAGGGCTCCCCTCCCACTCTTGGTTGACGAGTGTGTCAAACGCTTTCGGCTGTGCCTTGGTCTGCCGTTTTCCTGGCCTGGTCCGGTCCTTTCACCTTCCTCATCTGGCCAGTGAAGAGAGGGGCATGTGCCTCTGTGACACCTAGTGGAGGAATTTCCTTGTGGCAGACCTTGGAATAGTGGGCACTGTGGTGGGACCGTGTCTGTGCTCAGCCTGAGTCCACCAAGCAGAGCCTTGAGATGGGCAGCATGGAAAGAGTGCAGGGCTGGCCCTGCACATGTCACCTGGGGGTGGAGGAACCCTGGCCTGCTGCGCTCGGGGCCAGGTGCCCCCTGAGGGCCAGCTTCTCCAGCCTGCCCCTGGCCACTCCAGCAGTCCTAGAGAGGAGGAAAAGAGGCCCGAGGCGCGAGGCCTGCACAGGGCAGCCACAGAACAGCTGCACCCAGGGCATGGATTTCGCCTGCCCAGCAGACGGGGGGGAGCCCAACAGCAGGCCGGGCCATGCGCAGCTGACTGCTCCGGGTCTCAGCTTCCCAGGCCATGATGTCCTGCCCTGTGGGAGAGCAGAGCACAGGCACCATGCAGGACACAGGCCAGGTCTACAGCAGCTCTGAGGCCTCCTCTCCAGGTCGGGGCAGCTCCCGGCTGTAACTCCTCTGGGAGGAGGCGGGGGTGGGGGGGACAGTCTCAACCATGCTCAAGGCCAAACACTCGCAGCCAGGGCATCCTCTGCCCCCACTAGGGCCCTGGGACCCCTCCCCCAGGCTGAGGGCCCTCCAGGGGAGACATGCCCTGTGTGCTCACCTGGCACTGCACAGTAGGTCTGTCTCTGGAGTCTGTGGGGCACGGGTGTCAAGCACCCTCATGGCCCAGGGGCCCTCTCTGCCCATTTGTCCAGATCACCCAGCCCTGGGGGAGCCACCTGAGAAGTCAGGATATCTGGGGGTCTCCAGGACTCCTGGGGGGCTGTAGGCAGATGAAGCCCACCAGGGCCTCGCACCCCTCAGCTGAGTTTCAGGGCACGTTGCCGCATCCAGGGGCTGCGGTTAGCAGGACAGAGGACAGCCAGCAGCACACCCACAAGATGCTCCCAGCCGGACCCACAAGGCAGGAGCCTGGGTGCCCTGTGTCCAAGTCTGCGCTCCTGCATCTTTAGGACAACCTCCACCAGGAGTCCCAGTTTGGGGACCCTCAAAATCCAGGGCAGCAGGAGCCAGGAGATGCTCTGGCGCAGGCTCCAGGGCCTGAGTACAGGGAAGTAAGCTGAGGAGATGGGGGCCCCAGTGGGCGTGGCTCAGTCACATTTGCTGGGCTTTGCCCCCAGGTGCCCCCCAGGGGACCTAACTTGTAACCCTGTAAAGAGGTAGAGACCCTCCAGGCAGCTCAGGCAGCGGTGGCCTGCCGAGGGGTGGCAGTGGGGCCCATCATGCTCCCCAGGCACCTTCCTCCACAGGCCCAGCTCCGCCACCCAGACTGCAGGAGAGGGAGGCACCCCGGGGCGAGGGGGGCACTTTCTGCCCGACCAGGCCCGTCCACAGGAGGAGCAGCCTGCTGACTCACGCTGGATGGCTCGCCTTCACCTCAGTCTTAGCATATCTGGATTTAAGGATATTTTAATACAAAGACCACGAAAATTCCTCCAAAGTCAGTTTCCTGGTTCACGTTTCTGATCTTGGAGTCCTGAATGACAGGTATTTCCCTTATAAACGGAGTGCCACTGTCTGGTCCTCCTTCCAGGATGGGCTCTGGCATGGGCTGTCTGAACCTGCTGGAGGGAGCAGCAAACCCTGGGCGGTTGTCTCTTTAAATCGGCTCTGCAGTGTGGCCGCCTAGCTGGGAAGAACCATTCCACCCTGCGGCAGGAGCCGGCCACCGCGCCGCCATCCGCGCCTCCCCCAGTCCCCATGGTTACGGCTCCTGCTTCCCAGCCGGTCCCTGGTCCCTGCCCGCCGCCAGGAAGACAGGCAGGCACAGGCGGCTGGCGCCCCCCACCTGAGCCCTGGAAGCCGCCCGCTGAGACGCGGTGAACGCCTGCTCTTCCTGGCTCTGACTCATCCTCTCTCCCGGTGCAGAGCGCCGTCACCGCTGTGCCTGGCCACAGCTCCGGGCGGACTGCAGCCCTGCAATCTGTTGATAACTGCACTTGCGAGCTCCAGGCCACTGGTGATGGAAATCTGTTCCCCGGTGCTGAGAACCCGCCAGTCCGCACCTGCACAGGGGAGCAGGAGACCAGCACCCCTCCAGCTGTCTCTGCCAAAATAGGTGAGAAGTTAGTGCTGCTCCTGGGGTCTGAGTGGTGGGTGGGGGCCTCCTGCAGGGAGGCAGGGGACACGCGGCAAAGGCAATGGATGAGCTGCTGGCAGCAGGGTCCACTCATCAGGACCATTTCTTGGGCAAACATGCCAACTGGGGGAGAAGTGACTCCCGCCACTGGAGAAGCAGGTTCTGGATAACTTTGGGTGAGCGGAGGCATGGAGCCCGATGAAGCCCCCGGCCTCTTTGCAGAGAGAGTGGCTGTGGGAGGGCGCCAGCCCTGTCCAGCCACACCAGGCAGCCCAAGCTTCCGCCTGCTGGGTCTGGCTGTGTGCCGGGAGATTCATTCAGGTTTATTTGATTCTCTTGATTTAAACTGACAGACATGTTTATTTGGCTTTGTGCAGCCTGAAACGATTGAGTTTGGTTCTTGTATTGGATGGTGAGCAAAGATTGATTTTTAAATAAGGACGGGAATGCTGCCCAGGAGGGCAATAGCGGGCTGAAGGCACTTCCCTTCTTCCCCTTGAGGTCTCCAAGGCTCATGAACCACGTTGTCACCCAGATCCCTTCATGCCCCAGACAGAGCCTGAGCCAGCAACTCCAACAGGCTGGCTGTTGAGAGGAGTCCAGAGGGGGCAAACTTCCAGAAGAGCCACTGCTCCCTGCCAGAGCCTGGGCACCAACCAGGGGTCTGCCAGCCGCAGACCAGGGAGGACCCTCCTCTAGGGCCACTGACCATATGCTGTCTTCACAGATGGGTGCAGCCTGCAGACCCCCGCCCACCCTGTCACAGCCACCTTGGCACCCTGAGGCATACTTCTCTGGAAGCTCCACCCGTGGCTGTGGGATTTTGACCTTCTGGACAGCCATGGAGGCTGGCAGGGAGAAGGGCGCGACATAACCTTCTCCGCCACATCTCGGCCCCCTCCGGTGCTCCTGCCTGGGTAACTCTGCAGGGCTCATGGTGAGTACTGGACCCCCCAGGCCATGGACTGGGTGCAGCCAAGCATGGCCGATCCCCATTCAAGAAGGAGGCCTGGTCAGGAAAGTTGGTTGAGGAGTGCCAACCAGTTAGGGGCAGCCCTCCACGTGCTCTGTCCTGGCATGGGGAAGCTCTGTGGGCAGAGGCCCACGGCCTCTGGCTGCCTGGGTCTCGCTGCCTGCCCAGGTCCTTCTGCTGGCTGGCCGGCTCAGTGCTGTTCATACTGATTAGCTGCAGGCGTGTGGAAATGTCAGATCATTTAATCCAGTGACGGAGGTCCTGTGGGGATAAAGCCCAGGCCCCAGGGAGGCCCCCTGGGGTCCCTCCCCATCAGGGCCTCAGCCCAGCCACAGGCCCTACCCCCACCCCTGCTGTCTGGGGCATTTCTTTTGCCAGAAAGGAGCACCGTGTACCCAGCTGGCTGGAGCAGGTACCGGGACCCACGGGGGGCCCTCCTGGGAGCCTCTCCAGGCTCGCTGAGATTGCCACGGCCTCAGGAAGGCTGACAGCAGAGTGCATAAGGCTTTGTGTGTGCTCTTGAGGGACAGAGACGGGCAGCCGCGGCCGGGCATGTGCAGGGAATGCTGATGGCATCAGGACAGGGCTCCATGGCCCAGAGCCGACAGGGGCGCCCTGTGCAGACCCAGCATCTGCCTCGTGAGTGGCATTCTTTCTGAGTCACCACCTTGTTTTCTTGTTTGACTCAAAAGGTCCAAATAAGAAAGACACTTTCTGCCAAATCCAGCATCTCCTCAACCTGCACAGGCCCCAAGGCTGAAGGTCCCGGGCCACATGCCCTCTGGGACCCCCGGCAAGGCTGTGTCCAAGGCTTGGGTGGCTCTCAGAGGATGGCAGGTGGGCACTGGGCCCTGGCTTCCTTTCCATCCACCAGCTGCTCCCCAAGTGCCACGCCCAGCATGGCTGTCACCTACATTTGGCATTATTCATGGTTTTCTGTCCTCAGATTTAGAATGTTTGCAAAATGGAAGCTTGCCCTTGGCAGATGCCAAGAGAGCTAACAGGTGCTTCCAGAGGCAGGGGTGGCCAAGGCACTCGCCCTGTAGACCCACTGGGCAGGGTCTGGCCACTGCTCAGCCCCACCTACCCCCTCCCAGTGCACCCTCAGCCCCTCCTGGCATGAATGCAGGGCTCCCAGCTTCTCAGTCCCCACGTGGAACCTGCCTCTGCTCCCAGTGGAGTTCTTTGTGTGCTCCCTGCTGCTCCATGCTGCTGTGGAGGGACCCTCCTGCTCCCCACACTGCAGACTGCCGGGGCACTCTGCCTGAGCGGTCTCTCAGCAGTCTGCAGGGTTGTTCTTAACAAATGACATCCACACCTGGGGATTCCAAAAGGCACCTTGTGTGGCCGCCCTGCAGACTGCCTTGCCGGGTCCCACATCTTCTGTGTGTCTAGAGGCTGTGGTGCAGGTGCGTGCACAGGTCCACTTGGGAGCCCAGACAGGGGCCTCCGAAGCACCATGGCGCCTGCACAGTGCCCTCTGGAGCTTCCCCAGCAGCTGCCCAGGAGCGAGCAGCCTCCTCTGCTCCCAGTATAAGCAGCATCTGGTCTTCCAAACCACAACCCTGAAGCAGCACTGGATACAGCCTTGTGCCAGCAGGCTGTACCACCCCTGGCCAGGCTCCCTCCCTGGACAGAGCTGACCTGAGCTCTGACAAGACAAGTTGCTCCCTGCCAGAGGGGACACGTCCTGCAGGACCTAGGTCCACTAGGAAGCTGAGGCCACCTCCACTCCCCATGGCAGCTCTGTATCCCTGACTGTAACAAGCACAGTGGACGAGGCCCAGCTGCTTCTCCAACAGGTGCCATGATCTTAGAAGCCAGCAGACACTAAGAAGCATGTGACTGCTCGGTCACCTGTGGCCCTCACCCTTGACTCCAAGAAGGCCTGTTCCTAAGGGAATGAGTGACACCTGAGAGTTGCAGTAAAAACTGCGCAGACCTGGGTGCTCCCTCCGCCTCCTCGTGAGTGTCTGGGCTGAGGTCGAGAGGGTGCTCCTCAGGTGCACGACTCTGGCCTTCTACCCACGCTGCTCGAGGAGCCAGGAGTTGGGCAGGGTGGCTTGGTGGGGTGCGCTGGCATTGCCTGATGAATACTGTGTGTCCAGGGATGCAATAGGATGGTATGTGGGGTGGTGTGGGGTGGAGCTGTGTGGAGGACCCTGAGGGTGGGAGGGCGTGGCACGTAGGGCCCTGCGACCTGCATAGGACGGTGTCTGTGGGCCCTCGGGGCTGGGGGCGGGCTGTGGGGGTTAGGGGGTGGGCTGTGGGGTTAGGGGATGGGCCATGGGCTGCGTGCACTCAGCGTGGTGTACATGCGACAGCACTGCACATACTGGTGGGGAATATGAGGAGGCTTTGCTGGTGTGGGCTGGTGAGGCGCAGCCACAGGATTTACTGGCACGGTCAGGTGGGGCCTTTGGACTGGCTTGGGCTCTCATCCGATTTTCGTCTGCTAACGGTGGCACAGCATCTGGTGTCAGTGGCTTTGCTTTGGTTTTGGCGCCACGAATTGAAGCAGCAGCAGGACTCACTGAGGACTCACTCTACCCCCACTTGCTCGGGATTCGGGGCTGTCATTGGAAGGGTCCTCTGCCACATTCAGCAGGGCCCCTAGAACCATGATGGAGCTGGAGGCCAGACCTGCCTAGCCCCTGCTTGGAGTGGAGGGTCCAGCACATGGTGCTTTTGAAGCACCTCTTGGAGTCCTTCTTCCCCTCCATGCAGAAGTGCCCAGTCTAAAACAGACCTGATGGGGTCAAGATCCCAAAGGCAGGGATGGAGCACAGAGGCCTTCAACTCAGCCCTGCGGTGAAGCCCAGGGTAATGCCTCTTTCCCTGCTGTGCCCCAGGTGGATGGGGAACTCTGAAGCTGCCTGAGGCCTTCTCTGCATGAAGTCAGCTCTGGGAGAAATCGAGAATTAGGACCGGGGCCACAGTAGGTGGTAGCTCTAAGCTCTAAGCTCTAAGCTCCTAGAAGGTGTGAGCTACACCTGTGATGGTATGTCCCCCTCTGGCGCTGAGGGGATGGGAAGGAGCCTGGACAGGCACATAAAAGACCCTCTGTCAGCATTACAAACCTTCTGACCCAGCAGCAGCAGACTGAGCCCAGCCTGGGGTGCAAGGAAAGCCTCCCCGCTCCGGCCACACCCCACCAACATTCCAGAACTCTGGCAGGTTCTTTTTGGCTTGCTGCTTTTTGTTCTCTCCAGTCTAAAAACTTCAAAATGTACCTTGATCTCAGGTGAGAGTGTCATCCCACCTCACACTGCCCCTTAAATCCTGGACTTTCAGCGAGTATCCACCAGTCCAGGAGGGAAGTCTCCACGGTGTGGTCGACCTTTTTTTGTGTGTGATCTCAGGGTCCCTTGTACCCCTCCAACATGAAACGATGACAAACGATGCCTGTATGACATCCAGGCAGGGTGATCTGTGTTAAGAACAAACAAATTACTCATCTTCCAGCTGTCACCAAAACCTTTTCATGAGAACGTGATGGCTCAATAAGATGCAGTTGTCAGGTCCTGATGGCCATGGTCTGAGTCTGCACAGACCCAGGAAAAGCTAGGAAGAAGAAGAGGAAAGGGTGAAGAAGGACAGGGAAGCTGACACAAGGCCTGGCCTCGGGCGCTCGCCGCACAGGAAGGGTGCTGGAGAGGGGCCTTGTCCCCAGGTGTGCTGCTCACTTCCCCACCGGTCACCAGGAGGGTGCAGTTGGAGCAGAGGATGGGCATGTGCCTGACTGAGGTCTTCCTCCTGTCCTCGCCCTTCTTCCTGCCTTCCTCCACACCCTGCACCGTCCAACACAGAACACACCAAAAAGGCTGTGTCCACCTACGTAAGGGGAGCTGGAAGAGGTTGGGAAAGGGGTACAGTCTGCTCACGACAGGGCGGGCACGTCCCTGAGACTGTCAGGCATGCAGCCCACTGGGCCAGGGGACTCCGTGTTTCCCCAGGAACAGAGGCACCTCCTCGGTGGCCTCTGAAGCAGCCTGCCCTCCTTCAGGCACAGAGACCAGCAGACTTCCAGGCTTCTCGTCAGGGCCGAGAAGGCTGGGGGCCTTGGTCCCTCCCCTCCCGGCCCAGAGGCTCTCCTGCTGTCCCCCAGTCTCTGACCTGAGAGCTGAGCTGGCTCACTGTCACTGCACCAAGAGGGCTCCAGCCCCCTGGCATCAGAGGACTTATGCACCTAAGCCGTGCAGATTCCAACGCACGTGGGATAGGCGTCATGGTTGTGCCCAAAGAACGTTTGCACAGTGAACTCTTCCAAGAGGAACTTGCCCATGTGTGAACTTTGAAATATAAAATGTTACTCTATTTTGCATTAGCTACTTTGAATTTTAAATGCCAACTCTGAACATGTAGAAAGAAAAACACAGGAAACCAAATCAAATCCTAGTTCCTTAGGAAATTCACTGTTGACCCCAGTGAGCTGCCTGTAGTGGAAGCCCAAGGTGACACCTGGGGTCCTGGGGCCTGCTCCTGTTCTATGCCTCACCCCCTGGGTCCCCAGGTGAGAGGCCGGCCCCCACCCCAGCCTGGTGGCCTCCAAGCTACATGCCCCAGCCTAGTTGATGTTCCTACAAACACCTCCATGTCCTGAGCTGGCTCACTGAGAGGTCAGCCTGTCCAATTTCTAATGTGGCCTGCCATAGCCATGTGACCTGAAACCACAGATAAGGTGTGTTCAAATGCAAGTGTCTCATGGGCCCTGGGGACAGATGTGATGGGACAGGAAAGGGACAGGAGGCACGCTGCTTCAGATGCCAAAATGAGCCCTCTGCATGCTGTGATGTGCCCCTCCCCCAACACAGCCGAGCAGGGGTCTGAGACCAGCAGGCAGGCTGGCCCACCACATGTCCCACTGCAGTGACAGTGGCCCCTGAGGAAGGCCGTGGAGGACTCAAGAGCCCCCAGGCATGGGTGTGAAGCCAGCAACAGCGGCCAAGGGGCCCTGTCATGGGAGCGAAGAGCCAGCCGCCCCTGTGCCCAAGCGGACCTCTTGTTCCCAAGCCCTCAGGGGCAGCCCCCTCTCAGCAGAGAACTCATCAGACAACTTAACAGGATGTCTCCAGGATGGGGCTGTCTCCACTTCACAGGAAGTAGCTGAACTGTGACAGGCACAGGAGAACAGCCTTGGCCTTCCCAAGATGGTAGGAGGGTCCCCATCACCCACAGCCAACTCAGAGGCTGGGCACCAAGAGATGTGTGAGCGTCCCAGCAGGCCGGGTGTCCCAGAGGAGGCCGCTCTCCACCCTGATGGATCCTGACCCGGCCCTCAGCCCTCTGAGCTACAGGAGGTTCCTGACACTTGGGCCCAGGGAACTCAGAAGACCCAGATGGCCCTTCCACCTCTGCTTTCCTCAGAGGGGACGGGGAGGCCAGGAGTCTCCAGCCAGCCTTCCCTTTTCAACCCTCAGGGCCAAGTATCCAGACCAGTCTCAGAGCTGAGCCTGATCAGCGTCCAGGAAGAGAGGACCAGTTACAGACTCTGCATGGGGAAATAGCCGGTCCCACTGGTCCTCCAACCACTTACCTCCTCCAACACCCACACCCAGCAAGTGCCAGACCCACTCAGGCAGAGTGTGTCCAGGTCCTGGAACAGCCTTCTGGGGTGAGGGTACATGAAGGCCAGGGTGGGGCTTACCCCCCTTTCTTGGTCAGTCAGGAGCAGGGGAGCCTTGAGGTCTCCAGTGGAGATGGTGCAGGCCACAGTGACCCTGTGCTGAGGCTGGAGTGTCCAGGTAATCTCATGAGCTTGCCATCTGGCAGGACGACTGCTGCCTGGAGCCAAGAGTTCTACAGCCCTGAGCCCCCAGAGTCATGGATGTTCTGCCCCATCTACACCTGTGCCTCGACACACGCCCTGCACTGCCCATGCCAGCCGTCTGGGAGGCAGGGGGCAGGACAGTGAGCACCAGAGGCAGCTGCCACCTGGCCAGCGTGTAGCCCCCTAGAGATGCCTTGAGACTTGCCCAGAACAGGATGCCACATGGGGGCCAAGGAGAAGGAAACCTCCATCAGCTCCAAATATTTCTACCAGGATGGTCAGTTCTACTCCAGCACAGGCACGTCACGCTCACCTGGGAACTGCACCGTGAGCCCTTGGCTCTGTGGCCATGCACAGTAGAGTCAGGGACACCAGATGAGCCAGGGCCTCGGTCCCCTGTGTATTTGTCCACAGGAACATTTCTTCCTCCACGTACTTGGGGTGGACACTACACAGACCTATGGACACGTGCACCCAACTCCTGAGGGATGGTTAAGAACAGAGCGTTGGTGGGTGTGAGTCCAGGGCTGGGTTGGGGTAGCCTCTCTGTAAGGTCCACTGAGACACAGTGGGCGTCTGCAAGGAGACGCATGCTGTGGAGGCCAGCACCATGCCTGCGTCACTCAGTTCTGCATCGCTATGACCAAAAGAGAACAATGCAGAGGAGGAAGCATTTATTTGGGCTCAGGGTTTCAGAGGTTCTGTCCCTGGTTGGCCAACTCCATGGCTCTGGGCCCCAGTGAGGCAGAACATCGTATTAGAAGGGCGAGGCCAAGGAGAGCAGCTCAGGGCATGGCAGCAGGAAGCAGAGACAAAATATAAACCCCAAACACGCGCCCCAGGGGCCCACTTCCTCCAGACACAACCCACCTGCTGTGGTCACCACCCAGCTAGTCTGTGTCAGTGGATGAGGTCAGACCTCTCTGAACATTCTTGCACTGTCTCACACCTGAGCTTCTGGGGGACACCCCATGTCTGGACTGTCACACTTTGCCTTTGCCAGTCACCTTGGACAGAACGGGATGCAGGCATTGGCTCTGGAGAAATGCCACCCTCTGGGAGCCACTGTCAAAGACATAGGATGCCTCAGCCCAGCAGAGCTGGGGAGACAAAGATCTAGCCCGTGGGCAGCAGGCGGCTATAGAACTCTTTCGTGAGCCTCTGGGCAGGGTCTTCTCAGCTACCATCGACCCCTTAGCAGACGTACTGGGGGTCAGTCAGATGCCTGAGCCATAGGCATGGGAGGCCGACTCGTGACCAGCCACTCTCAGACGCCTGGCCTCGGGTCCCATGGGTCTCCTCTGCTTCCTCTCCAGGATTTGAAGACTGTCCTGTCCCTGCCCCGGTTCCCAGGGGAGTTCCTGCACCCCGTGGTGTATGCCTGCACTGCCGTCATGCTGCTCTGCCTTCTCGCCTCTGCAGTCACCTACGTCGTGCACCGGAGGTAAGGCTGGCAGGCCACCTGCCCCTCCATGCCCACCCTCAGATGCAAGCCCTGGGCTGGGCTCACCACCCTTCCCGTGGCAGGACACCCTCCAGCACCCAGGACCATCACAGTGGCTCAGGGAGAGCCCAGCCTTCTGGGCTCCTGCCAGATCTCGAGAAGGCAGGCCTTCCTGAGTGCCTGTGGGCCAGCACCCCAGAGCCCATGCCTAGAGGCCAGCAGCACCATGCCTATTGGTGCTGAGCCTTTTTATCTGGGAAGAGCAGTCTGGTCAGATTTCTACTTCGGAGCTGGGTTTTGGCCACCTTGTCTGGGAATGGGGGATGTCTTGGAGTCTGTGTCACCTGCAGCGGCACTGAAGTGTGAGCAGGGCGCTGACGTAGTCAGGCCTACCCACAACCAAGGCGCAGGTCAAGCTGGGCCTTGACAATGGTCACAGCCCAGGAGCAGATGGGACACATTCAAGGCTATAGCAATCAGCTCAGGCATCGGCAGCCACAGCCAAAGAAGGAGGTCTGGGGAGCCAAGGTCATGGTCATGGAGAGGAAGAGAGGCCATGGCCACAGGACAGGCTGGGGCAGGAACAGGGGCCATGGCCACGGGAGAGGCTGGGGCAGGAGCAGAGGCCACGTCATGGGAGGGGCTGGGGCAGGAACAGAGGCCATGGCCACAGGAGAGGCTGGGGCAGGAACAGGGGCCATGGCCACGGGACAGGCTGGGGCAGGAACAGGGGCCATGGCCACGGGAGAGGCTGGGGCCGGAAGAGAGGCCATATCCACGGGAAGGGGCTGGGGCAGTCTGAAGTTCTTGTCTTCGTCAGTCTGGGCTGCTATAACAAATGACCAGAGATTGGGTGGTTTGTCAACAATAATTTACAATAGAAGTTGATTTCTCACAATTCTGGAGGCTGGGAAGTTCCAAATCGGTGCCCTGGCAGATTTGGTGCCTGATGAGGCCCATTCCCTGGCCCACAGGGGCGCCTGCTCGCTGAGGCTTCTTGTGGTTGAAGAGGCAGGCAGCTCCCAGAGCTGGCCTTTGCAGGGACACGGATGCCCTTCATTAGGTCTCTGCCAGAACACCCACTTCCCGGTACCATCCCTTGGTAGTTAGGGCTCAGCGTAGGAACAGGGGCACACACATGCAGACCTCAGCCCTGGGATCATGGGAAGAGAACTAGATGTGTTCAGGGCCGTGGCAAATTCCAAGGCATGACTGAGCACCAAGCCCTGGCCCCAGCTGGTTAGGCAGAGCCTCGACCCACCATTGTCATAAGACGGTCCCAGCCCAGAGGATGTCCCATCCAGGTTGCAGGCACTCACCGACCGTTACATGACCACATCCTCCCCAGGGTCAGACACCTGCTGGAGAGGGAGAAACCCATCTTGGGAACCAGGGGATGATGTCCCTTTGTGCATCACATGGTCAGATTGGTGAACTCTGCAGAGCCCTTCCGGGTTCACTATCCAAGTGATCTTGCACAGAGTTGCTGGTACAGCAGCAAGAGATGGGGACGGCATGGGACCTGCTAGAGCAAGTCGGCGTGGCCGTGGCCCCACCGATTGTGTTCAGCTCCCCCGAGGGTGATCCGGGAAGAGTGCTCTTACGTGCTTTAACATGAAGCGCCAGTTCCTAACCTGAGATCCCCGTCTCCCGCAGTGCCATCAGGATCAGCCGGAAAGGCCGGCACACACTCCTCAACTTCTGCTTCCACGCAGCCCTGACCTTCACCGTGTTCGCTGGTGGCATCAACCGCACCAAGCACCCAATCCTGTGCCAGGGGGTGAGTGTCACTGTCTTCATCCTGCTGCAGATGCCAGTATCCTCGATGTCCCTGGGGTGGGAGTGGGGCCCTGCCTCCTGTGGCTGGAAAGGGAGTCAGGCATCGGTCTGGCAGTCCACGTGACAGCTGTGTTCCACCTGAAGCCTGCAATTTGCTCAGCTTTCAATCATGCGGAACAACATATTTTCCACTGGCTGGCCTGCTCTGAGGCCTCCTTCCCAGGAATCGGGCTAGGCTGCCCCTCCTGAAGAGACAGTCGGGTGGGGCTCAGGGGAGGGACCAGTCAGACTCCCAGATGCCACCAGCCTGGAGTCAGGAGGAGCTTTGCCACATGCAGGCCACGTGTGGTCCTATTCTCTCAGGGAAGGTAAAGCCCATGGCAGAGGACGTTCCTTAAGAACCAGGCCTAGTCCTGTTCACGTTGGGCTGTGGCTCTGGCCAAGGAGCCCCGCTACAGTTCCAGGGTGGCCTCTGTGTGCACACACAAACCCCCAACCTGCTCTGAACCCAGGCTCCATGGGTGGGGCTGTTCCAGGACCCAGAGCAACATGCCAAGGACCATGCGGTCTGTCACTTCTTGGGCCAGCGTCTGTCTGGGCCCCTGGGGCCTCAGGCTGGTCCCTTGGTGCCTTTTTTACTGCAAATATAGCAAACACCTATTGATGGGCAGGGGCGGAGCCTCGGCCCCATTCCTCAGGCCCCTGTGACCCACACGGCCCTCAGTGGCTGTTGGCATCCCCTGACCTGTCCAGCTGCAGGTGAGACTCGCCCCAGGCCTCTGTGTGCCTCAGGAGCCACCCAGGCTGTGAGTGAAGCTCTCCTCCGCTGAGGCACCCACTGGCCACATCCCAGCACCCTCGGGGCTGCCTTCTTTCCCAGAACTGACGTGGGTTGAGTCCTAGAGAGTTCCATGGGCAGGGAGACAGTGGGAGACACCTGGGAGACAGTGCTGGTGCCCCAGAGCCCTCCCACCAGATATTCTAAATGTGTCATGTCAGACCCAGGAGGCCGGCCCGATGCCCAGGCCCAGGCAGGAGAGTTGGAGATGTGTGCCTGAGGAGGCCCCCAGGTGGACAGGCTCCAGCACTGCCTCTCAATGAGCTGGAGCCATAGCAAGCGCCTGGGAAGTCCCGATTGTGTGCTGCTGTAAATGCACCTGGGGCCATCCGAGAAGTGGTCAAGTGGGTCATTATCTCTATGTCCACACGTGGCCTCTGATTGCTCCCCAGCTGGGACCTGCCAGCCACAGAGCCCGTGGGAATCACCTTGGGGACTCGGGGACCCTGCCAGGCCTCCCAGAAACCTGTACCAGTCCCCAAGTTCAAGCCAGTCTGGACCAGCCCCTGGAGCTTGAAACCAGCCCCACCCCAGTGATGTCTTGGCCCGTGGGGTGGATCAGGTCTGGAAATCTCAGTCATGGTCTATAGAGGTCATGACGTATGGTCCATGCTCCCGCCATCGTGACAGCCGCAGGAACCTCTGGAGGGAATGGCCCTCTGCAGGCTGACAGAGGAAAGATCATGACCCCTGCAGATGCCGTCCCCACGTCTTGCTATGGTTCCAGAAGGGGCAGGCCTTGTCACTACTCACCCATTCACTTGGCCAACATGCCTGCCAGGTGCCAGGTCATACCATGGATGTGGAAGCAGCCGGAAACACTCCTGCCTCACTCAAGTGGTAGAACTTGACTCTGGGCAGCAGCAGGCAAGACAAGCCCAGCCACAAGCTAGTAGCACCCTGGGAGTGGCTAAGCTACTGGCCGGAGGAGCAGAGCCTGGCACTGCAGCTCAGGACACCCCCGTGCAGGCCGCAAGGTGTAAGACCACAGCCTGTGGACCCACATGGCTGCACATTGCAGGGCCCTCGAGAGGGAGCTAGGGGTTCTGATCTGCAGTCAAGCAGGAGGAAGGGGGGCCAGCCTGGGCATTCACACAGCATGGCAGCTCCCACACCAGCTGCAGGGGAGAACCCAGGGGCCAATGCCTCCAGCTCGCCATTCACCTGTGACCACAGCCTGACATGGGAGCAAGGGCTCCTGGCCCACTCCCGAGCAACACAGCAGAATGCCTGGAGAAGTGGTCCAGCCCTCTGTGTGGCTGGAGAGAAGAGACGGTTGCTATGGCGACAGAGATGACCCTGAGCCTCTTTGAAGTATTAAGTGACATCATAAGTGAAACGGGCCACCGCGTGCATCAGTGCTGGCCCTGAGCCCAGAAGCGAGGGCGTGAGCGCTGCTGCGTGCTGCTTCCTTTCCCGCAGTAGCCGGCTGCGCTTTGGCCTCCCCACGTGTCCAGCATACAGCTGGCATTCAGGAGACAGAGTCCTTCCATTCACATACTGCCTGGCCAGGCCAGCCCTGAGCTCACCTCCCTCCCTGAGCTCTGTCACCTTCCTCGGCGCCCTGGGCTGACAGTTGGGCTTCTTCTGAGGATGTCTCTGAGTTTCTGTGTGCACATGACAATGACGGCCAAACGGGGATTCCTGAGAAGCAAGACCCTCCTTCAAGCCAGGGCCAGGCCCAGGTGGCCACTGATGCCCACACTCTTGGGTGCAGAGAGCTCCAGCGCCTCACACTCTTGTCCGGGCTGGGGGCCCCCTTAGTCCTTCAGATGTGCACACCAGCCCCCACCCCAGCCAGGGGTCCGGAAGGCACAGAAGAACTCGGAGCCACGCAGAGGGAGCTCCTGCAAAACCATAAACAGAGTGCTTTGACCTTTCCACCCCCACAAAATCCACATCAATCATTACAGAGTTTGCTCATAAGTAAAAATTGAACTCCGGATTTGATAAATCATTTTAATGGTGCAACATTAGCTTTTTCGGGGAATCTCTGTATTCCTTAAACGTTTATGTCCTTCCCAATTATAGCAATATTTTACTTGTCATTTTGAAATGTCAGGTTATTACCTTGAAGGTAACCTCGTTTCATGAAATGAGATGGAAACGAAGTAGTGCAGAATGTGTAATTAGCTAGCGCACAAGGGCCGGGGATGGGATGCAGCTCCCGCGGCCGTTTCCATGGTAATGAGTCACTCTGACGCGGGTGGCTGTCCAAACCTCTCCGGCAGTGCTTTTCTTACGTAATGCCACAGACGGCAGCACACACAGAGCCCCACAGTGCAGCTGCCTCCCCTTCCACTGGGCACCCCTTGTCATGGGACTGCAGAGGAGATGCGTGGGGCTGGCGTGGATGCTGCCCAGGAAGGGTACTTAGGCCATGGGCTGCCTTGGGCGCCCGCCAGCCTCTCTGCAAGAGATCAAAGTGGCACAGTCAAGGGTCTCTGCCACCCTTGCTGGTGCCCCAACACCCTGAGCCTTGTTTCTTGTGGCTAACGGGCTGTAGGAGCTGCTGGTACAGGGGTGTGGTCCCAGCCCACCTGGTGCTCCTGGGAGGCTGGCCGCCCGTGGCGGGGGCGGGGGCGGGGGCTGCAGCTGACACCTCTCCCCCTCCAGGTGGGCATCCTGCTGCACTACTCCACACTGTCCACCATGCTGTGGGTCGGAGTGACTGCGAGGAACATCTACAAGCAGGTGACCAAGAAGGCCCTGCCATGCCCGGGTGCAGACCAACCGCCATACCCCAAGCAGCCCCTGCTCAGGTACACAAGCCCACTCACTGGCACAGCCCCCCCACCACCTGAGACCCTGCCCCAGAATGTGCCTTCCACAGGTCTGGGGAAACTCCTCTCTCGGCAACTCCAAGCCTGAGAATTATCAGATCTTCCTGGGTCACTTGGGGCCCGATGGCACTGGGGACTGGGCAGCATGGGGAGGGCGTCCTGAGGTGGGGCTGGGGACAATTGCTGGGTGGGCTGGAGTAGCATGGGAGCAGCAGGCCACCACACCTGTGACTGGGGACCAGGTGCCCCTGTGCTGGGTGCTAGAGTGAGGCCCTCTGGGCCTGGGGGCCGTGAGTGGAGGCTGGACGGGTGTGGCTCACGCCCTGGTCTCAGCGGCTCTTTAGCTGGAAAGCCATCACTCACTCGGGCAGTAATTCTAAGGTGACTGTGGCCTGGCATGTGGGACTGGGAGGATTGGTAAAGGGGCAGTGCTCCTTTCTCAGGGGACTCACGGTAGATGTGGCAGGAACCACTGTGTGCTGGGGCCCTGGGGACAGCCTGAGGACAAGGGCAAGGTAGTGGCCTCCCTCTCGTGGGGCAGAGCAGGGAAGTCCCACAGGACAGAGGTCCCCAGCTCCTCACACCAGCAACCATAACAGGAGAGCAACTGGAGCTCTGCCATCCACTCTTCTAAGTGGACACTGAGCCTCAAACTCTGCAGCCTCCACCTTCCAGCTCTAAGCAGGCCTCGTCTCTCCTGTCTAGAAGGTCACTGGGTCTCCACCTTGAGCCTCTTACTGAATTTTCCTGGAATGACCTACATGTGGTTCCTGTGAGAGCCACCTGCTGCTATGAGGAGCGATTCAGGGGCTGTGGAAGCCCAGGCCCTCATACAGCTCCCTCTGGCCCTGACCTCGAAGGGCTACTCCAAACTCCACCAGGGTCTAGCACCATTGGAAGAGCATCTGGGGGCAGGCTACCCAGGGCAACCCGCAGCCCCTCTGCAGCTCTGTGGCCTGGCCTGTGCTGGTGGGAATGTGCGGCACCTGCCCCTCCCCAAGAGTCTATAAGCTGGAGTCTTTCCTCTCAGAGACCCCAAGGGCCCTGAGCACACTTGACAACAGCCTTGGCCACGTCCTCTTTGACCCAGCATTGCACTCAGAAGTGGCTCTTCAATGGGTGGCTAGGCAATGGGCATCCTGGGTCTGCACTGCTGGCCCCAGGCCCAGAACTCACATGCAGTCCAGGCCTTTCAATCACAGAAAGCAGGTCTGAGCCCCAGGAGCTGTTCGGCCCCAGGAGGCAGGAGCCTGGGAGCACCTTAACAGGTGCACATCCTGCTCAACAGCCTGGACAGAACATTGCCCCCTTCTTGTTGGACCCTTGGCCACGGCAGCTGGGCAGCCAGTTCCTATGGGCAGCAGGCTGTACTTCTATCTGAGCTTGAAGGAGTCCTGAGTGTCCTGGCCCAACCTGAAGTTCTCCAATGGGATAAAAAGAAAATAACGTCCCAAATGCTCTGACGGATGCTCAGTGGTGCTCTGGGGCTCCCTGCATCCTGAGAAGCCTCTTCCTGAGGCCACACGGGGTTCTGTGGCACTCCACACCCCTCACTGGACATGGGGAAACCAAGCGCATTCCAGGAGAGCACAGGAAAGTACAGCCGTGGGAGATGTTGCAGGACTCAAGTGGATGAACCCAGGATAAGCCTGCCTCCTCTTTCTGCATGAGCCTGCGCACCCCGTGGCTGGGTCAACTTGGGTGACTCCTCTCTCCGTGAGACCACCTGGTGAACAGAGGGTGCTGACCTTTCTGCCCCAACATATGGATCAGGAGCCTGCCCTTGGGTCAGCTGGGTGGCAGAGCAGGAAGGTTCAGTGGAGGCCTGGAAGAAGAAGGTTCAGTGGAGGCCTCTTGCAGCTGGAGACTTTCTGCTAAGTGGATTCAGTGCCAAGGTCAAAGTCATGTCTACCTGCTCCCAATGGTTATGGAGGTCTGTGGTTTCCCGAACAGCATGCGCCTAGGCTCAGCAGACATTTGGCAACTTTAGATGGTAATTTGCCTGGTCTCGCCTCCCCTTACTCTTGGACATGCCCCTGGTGCACATGGTCTGTACTGAGGCAAGGCTCCCGAGCACCCTGTTTGGAAGCATCAATCACATGGGTGTCCAGGCCCTCAGAGAACAGCCTGCTGGGCGTGTGCAGAAGCTGCAAAGCAGTGACCCACCCCGGTCTCCCTGATGACAGAGCCCACACCAGCATGCGTCTTTGGGACATGAGCCAAACTGGAGCACCAAGGAGGGGGCCGTGGCCACTACAGCAGTCCCCAGGCCCAGTCCTGTGTGGGGCCAGGTGAGTGCCCAGACATGGGCATGGGGACAAGCCATCAGAGGCCAAAGGCCCTCAGGTGAAGGCAGGCCATGGGCTACCACAGCTCATAGCCCAGCTCCACTGGGTCACTCAGACACGCAGTTCATAGCAGAGGAGGGGCTGCACTTTCACGGGACTGAGTCCTGTACCTGCAGCTCCTGGTTCCTCCCAGCAACACTCCATCGTCTGCAGTGCACAAGTCCTGCCTCTCCTGGGTCGGGCCTCTCCTGGGTCTTCTTTCTTCTCACTGTCAGTGTACACAGGGTTTTCCCATCTGCATCCCACCTTTCATTGTGTAGAAATACAATTCCTACCCACAGCTTTGCTAATTCCTCATGTCAACTGTGCCTGGGGACGGTGCTGCCCCTTCACACCAGCCCATGCCCTCCAGGGGACGGTGCTGCCCCTTCACACCAGCCCATGCCCTCGGCTCCTCTTTCTGCCTGACTGCTCTGAGCCATGCCTCAAGTCCAGCAGAGGTCATCACTGTTTTTCTTCCTAAAATCTAGCTCTTGTTTTATCTGTCTCCCTATTTCTCTATGATTTCTGCTCTGGTCCTGATGCCTTTTCTCCCCGGCCTTTGGCTGGTTTTCTCTTCCTTCTGGTTCTACAGCATAAACTCCATCACTGTTTTGAAACCTTTCTCCTGTAAGGTGGACATTTCCCTCCAACTGCACCGCTGTGTCCCAAGGTGTGTTGTGGGGCTTTTGGTCGAGCTCAGAGCATCTTCAACCTTCCCTTGGGGTTTCTTCCTTGGCCACTGATTACTTAAGAGTGTATAGTTACATTCTCACAGATCATTAGACATTTAAGGGGAAACACCTCCCTAGAAATGTGTGGGACTTTGGGTGGTGGATCATGGAGATTCCCATCTGATCGAATGGTTGTGGCTGGCCAGTCTCTGTGGAGAGATCTCTGCAGTGATGAGACATGTCTGTTCCTTCCCCATGTTTGGAAAATCCGCATCTGCCATGTGGCTCTGCACTGCAGCAGGGCCACAGAAGGGCCAGGAGGGGGTTAATCTGTGCATTCTGCTGTGTGGCCAACTGCAGCCAGGCTGGCCAATACCTGCTTTCTTGGGATTTCAGGAGATCTAGGGCTGTTGGCCATGTGTCCAGGAGAGCTGCCACCTCTAGAGAGGGCCAGGGTTAGGCCCCTGAGCAGGCTTCACCCAGACATCACTGGGCAGAACCAAGGGCCTGGAGTCTCTGGCCCAGGCATAGCTGTAAATTGAGTGTGAGTCAGGCCTGGCACTTTGGTTCTGCAGGTGAGATACAAGAACTGAGTATCAGCCTCAGCCAACACAAGTGCCGCCCTTATCCTTACAGAAGGGGTTTAGGAGGGACATCCTCAGGGCCTGGAGCCCTGTCCTCAGCATGAGGACTGGTCTGGATTTCCCAAAGGAGTGAGGGTGACCTTGGGAAGAGCCAGCAGACACCAGAGCAGAGCACAAAGTGAAGAAAGATGGTGCTGGGGAAGAAGAGGATGGGAGGGACACCAGGAGGCAAGAGAAGAGACCCCAAGAGGGCAGTGGCCCAGGTGAAAGGGACAGGACTGCACTGAACATGGTCCATCCAGCTCCTGGGAGACACTGCACAGACAACCCAGACCCACAGGGCCTCTTCTGACTGTGACATATGTTACTAGCCCCACCATTGTCACATCTGACACCCTGAACTCCTGCCCATGGATCTTTGTCTCCTTGCTAGACAGACTTCACATGGTCCAAATGGTCAGACACATGGTTCCACCACCTACAGAGGAAATCAACTGCCTCAAGTGTGAACGAAAGGAATTATGACTGCCCTCCCACTATCCACAGGGAACAAGAACCTCCCTACACTCTCCACAAGGAATCAAGACCTCCCATCCACTGTCCACGGGGAACCAGGACCTCCCATCCACTGTCCACGGGGAACCAGGACCTCCCATCCACTGTCCACATGGAACCCGGACCTCCCTCCACTGTCCACAGAGAACCAGGAACTCCCTCCACCGTCCACAGGGAACCAGGAACTCCCTCCAATGTCCACAGGGAAACAGGACCTCCCACCACTGTCCACATGGAACCCGGAACTCCCTCCACTGTCCACAGAGAACCAGGAACTCCCTCCACCGTCCACAGGGAACCAGGATATACCATCCACTGTCCACAAGGAACCAGGACCTCTCTCCACTGTCCACATGGAACCAGGACCTCCCTCCACCGTCCACAGGGAACCAGGAACTACCTCCAATGTCCACAGGGAACCAGGAACTCCCTCCACTGTCCACAGGGAACCAGGACCTCACTCCACTCTCCATAGGGAACCAGGACCTCCCATCCACTGTCCACAGGGAAACAGGACCTCACTCCACTGTCCACAGGGAACCAGGACCTCACACCACTGTCCACAGGGAACCAGGACCTCACACCACTGTCCACAGGGAACCAGGACCTACCACCACTGTCCACAGGGAACCAGGACCTCACTCCACTCTCCATAGGGAACCAGGACCTCCCACCACTCTCCACAGGGAACCAGGACCTCCCACCACTCTCCAAGGGAACCAGGACCTCACTCCACTCTCCACAGGGAACCAGGACCTCACTCCACTCTCCACAGGGAACCAGGACCTCACTCCACTCTCCACAGGGAACCAGGACCTCACTCCACTCTCCACAGGGAA